CCTAAGCAAAAGACAAGAAATCTGACCCAGTCTGGTGAATGGAGAGCACAGTCGGCATAGTAACATAGTCACCACCTACAGCAGGCCAGTCACTAGGAAGATACTATAATTCTCAGTCTTTATATATGTAAATCACAAATTTTCTAAAGCAAAATTTATAGAATGAAAGGGATGATGTGATAGCTTCACTACTCTGTGGTACAAGTGAATTCAAAATTTCTCTCTTAATTCTGTTAAGAAATAAACAGGCCCCCAAAAGAAAGGCATGAACTATGAGAATAACAGGGCTTTTTTAAAGTGTAAAGATATGAGGTTTAGATAGAAGTTCCTGCAGGGTGAGAAGGAACCTGACAGAGGATTGCTTAAGAATAATAGTTTTGAACAAAAAGCATATATAAACCTTGGTATCAAGAATTAGAGAATACAGATTCTTCAAGGCTCTCTCTCTCTCTTTCTTTCCACCCCTCTCTTCCTCCTACCTTCCCTACTTTCCCTTCTCTCCTTCTTTGCAAAAATTAAGTACTGGACCATGAAGGAGGTATCACCAAGTTTCAAATAATTAGAAATAATAGACTAGTTTCTTTGACCAAACACAATTAATACAAAATTGATAGTTAATTTTAAAAAAATCATTTGGAAATGAGATAAAAAAGAAATGCTTTCTTAGTAATCATCAAATGAAAGAGGCAACATGGCAAATGGTAAGATTACTTGGGATGGAGTCATATTGAAAACTATCTGTCAAAACCTAGAGGTGAAGGGGAGCAATAGTTAGAGGTAAATAGATAGCCTTGTATGCATATACTGGGGGAAAGAGGTTAAAAGTAATGAGTCAACATCAAAAGTAATAAGTTAACCAAAAACAACAATATGGACAAAGAATATATGACAGATGGTAATAAAGGTAAAAACAAAAACTAGTGAAATTGAAACCAAAGGTAGAACAGAGGTTTAACAAGGCCAAAAGAGCCATGGAGCCATGCTTTTGAGTCAAGATGGAGGACTGGGTAAGTATTTTGTTTTGTTTTTCTCCTCTCTTCAATATCTCATTAAAATGCTTGTGAAATGGATCAAACAGATCTTAATGGGAGTACAAATGGGAAGAAATCCTTTAAAAAAATAAAGAATTTTAAAGAGCTATGGTGGGGGAGGAGCTCAACCAATGCGTACGAGGCGGGAAGTGGTGGCAATAGCTGCTCAGAACCCCTGCTCAGCAGACAGCAGTCAGAGGACACCCGCATGCAGCCTGGCATTGTGCTTCCCATTAGAACGCCACAGCCTACAAAGACAATGGGCCATGCCTGTAAAGTAGAGAGAAAGAGCTTTTTAAATTATGTACCCAACCAAGCAATCATTCAAGAATGAAAGAAAAACAAGAATGGAAGCAAAAAAAGAAGTACAATAGATATTTTCTGGAGTCAGAAATTTATTTCACACACAGCCTCTCTGAATAAGTCAGTTACATATTTACTCCAGGAAAAAAAATGATAGTGAAAACCAAGAAGGGGATAATCAGGAATAAGAGAAACAGGGATCACTCAAGAAATGAATAAAAAGAAATCCCCGCATGGCAGCCATCTAGCGGCAATCTTGTCCTATTTATAATAAACATCAGTGAGCTTCAAAGACTGTCTTTGCAAACAAGAATGATGGAGCACACACAGAACTAGGAGTATTAGTGAGTCTGTTAAAAGGCATAGTTTTCTTTCCTCAATATGAAAAAATTACTTACAAACTCCAGGAAGCAGAAAGAGAGAGAGAGAGAGAGAATACAAGAATGCCATGGATTCAGATACAAGGCAAAACAAAACTTCCCATTATTTTTGATCAGTTGTGGAATTTAAGAAGATAGAGTTCACATGATCTAGACACTAAGAATATTTTCCTCCTTCTGGTATAGGGTTATGATCCTGGAAACAAATACAGAAACAATATTATTTTATCATCACGATTTAGGTTTAATAGTCATAATGTTTACAGACTCATAATAAGTGTTTAATAGTTGAACATTTAGAGTCTACATCTACATATAGACCAAACATAATTAAAAAAAAAACCAGATTTTAAAGCTTCTCAGTCCTGGCAACGTTACCTTCATCGTTGTCCTTGTTATCGCCATCATCACCATTTTGGTACAGAAGATTGGACACTTCCTAAATGACAAGCACTGTGCCAACACCTTCAGTCTTCACAATGAACCCTTTAAGTGGGCATTGCTGTTGTCCTCGTTTTGTAGAGTCGGAAACTGAGGCAGCAAGAATTTAAGGAGCTCGCTCAAAGTCTTTCACGTATAAGCCACAGAGCTGGTTTCACACTCAGGAAGTTAGACTTTAGGATCTGACTCACAGACACCAGGAGGAACTCATTTTAAAGAAAAGTGAGGACAGTGGGAAGCAGACAGGAAGGAGAGGAGGAGAGAGGGCAGGCATGCTCACCACAGCCTCCCGCAGAACAGAACACAGGAGATGAAGGCCTAATGATGTCCATTTGAAGATAGGACAGGAACCAAGGGAAGAACTCAAAATAGTTCAAACCTTAAGCAAGTTAACTCCTGCTTTTTCAAAGCAGAGTTCACTGGATAGATCTAAAGTCAAATGATCAAGAAATACCCAGATGAACTTCACAGCAGTCAAAGGGAAGTTATAACTGCCAGAGAAGGGGAAACAGAAGTTGCCTCTAAGAAGTAGGTTCAGAATATAGAATGAAGTGCTGGGAGCCCAGGGGAGAGGTTTGGAATTTTCATGACTATTTTTGTGTACTATTTAGTTTTGTTAAAATACCTTTATTATTCAAGCCAAAATAGCCACACAAAAATACATTTAAAAAAATCCCTTCATCATGGAAAAATTGGAACTCCTATGCATTGTTGGTAAGAAAGTAATAAGGAACAGTTTAAGTGGAAAACAGTCTGAAGGTTCCTCAAAAATTAAACATAGCATTTTCATATGATTCTGTAACTTCACTGCTGGATATTAGCGAACCAAATTATTGAAAGAATTGAAGGACAGACTTCATTAGACACTTGGGGACACCAAAGTGAACAGTGGCATTATTCACAGAGGTCACAGGTTGAAACAATCAAATGTCCATTGATGGATGAATGGACAAACAAAATAAGGCATTTAGTGCGATGGGATTACCTTAAAAAGTGAAAGAAATACTCATATGTGCTACAACATGGATGAACTTTGAAGACATTCTGCTTAGTGAAAAAAGCCAGTCACAAACCAGCAACTACTATATGCTTATACTTATTCAAAGTGCCTAGAATAGTCAAATTCATAGAGACAGAAAGTAGAGTGGTGTGGCCAGTGATGGAGACCAGGGTCATGGGGAACTGTTATTTAATGGATGCAAAGTTTGAGCCTGGAAAAATGAAAAGTTGTAGAGATGGGATGGAGGGTAATTAAATCATTGCATACAATGAGAATGTATTTACTGTTGCTGAACTGCATGCTTAAAAATAATTAAAATACTAAATTTTATGTTACATACATATATGTATATATTTAATACATATATACATACATATATATATGTTATATGTCATAACAAGAAAACCACTGTCCTCAAAAAGAAAAAAAAAGTAGAGGCACTGTCATACAAGCCTGACACGGCATCTCTGTGTACACTGGGGTTTATATAATACTAGTTTCTGGAAAATATGGGAACTTTAAAACACATCAGTTCCGATTATACTCTCCCACTTTAGTATTATTGCTGTCCTTATTTTAAATTATATATGAAGGGCTGGGGTGTTGTTCCATGGTAGTGTGTTGGCCTAACAAGTAGGAGGTGACACATTTTATCTCCAACAGCACAAAAAATTACATATAAATATTACAAATTTAGATGTATTATAAATATTATATATAACATATACAATATTGTTCATATTATTTACATATATAATATGTAATATTTATAGTATATTTAATTTGATATAAAAGCAGAAACTGATATATACTAAATCCCACATTATTATATGTAGTCAATATTCATTTTGACTTACCCACATATATGAAAATATGCTCAGGGGAAAACTTGATTATGTTTCTTTAGGTCAGAAGCCACCAGTTGTGAGATACATCCTGAGTTAAGAATTTTAGAAATGTTAAAATGTGAAAAGAATGTACTCTTAGAATGGGAGAAATGCAATATTAATCAGAAATTAAGTTAAAAGACAAAGAGAATCATGGACTGTAACCTTTTACCCAGAAAACTCCTTAACCTGGGTCAATGTTCAGTGATCACATTCTATGTTTTTGGTGGTGGTGAGAGAGAGAGAGAGAAAGGCAGACAGACAGAGAGACAAGGAGAGGGAGAAAGATAGACAGAAATCCACTGAGCAGAGAGAGTCTCTAGTAGGCCAAGAGTTTCATGAGGAAAATAAATTATCAAAAGATCAAAGGAGCCAAGCAGCTGCTGCTCTCTGAATCAACAGGAGAGAACATAGTACAGACAGACCTGGGATGTGTATTGGCTATTGTTACGATCCACATCATAGAAAGGGGTAAAAAGAAAGCTACAAGATCACGTGCTTCTTCCTGAGTTCACAGAAATAAATGCAGAGGTGAGAACATGATCGGCTCATCATTCATATCACAAATGATCTCTCAAAAGACATGGAGGGGGCTGGAGGTGTAGCTGAGTAATAGAGAACATGTGTAGCGCACACAGAGCTCTGGATTCAATTCCCATACCCCAAAAATGCTAGGATGCAACATGAGGTCTCAAGAGTGATCAGAAAAACAAGATGGCACAGTGACTTGCTTTTTCCTTTGCTGTGCCACAGACTTTTCTTGAACCTCAGATTTGCTTAAACACACACACACACACAAAAGCTAAAACTTGTTGCTCTTCTGTTTTTCTTAAAACTAAGTACTTATTCACAGCAAAAATATGATTTCTTTTCTACAAAGATTCATAAATGAATACACAATCTCATGGACTAGGACTGTATACACCTAATGAACATAATATTAACATAATAAACTCACCAGTGCTTCCTGGACCTTCACATGGAAACAAGGATCAGCTCAGTCTGAGACAAAAAAATCAGTAGCTAAAATTAGTTCATCAGAGTTCTGACTGATGAAAAAAATTAGTCACATTGCAATCCAACACTCCTATGCTAATACCTCACCCATTCCTGTAGTTACTTATTCTTCAGTTATTCTCTGCAGCCTGTGATAGGCTTTAAAGACCTAGTGAAGGCCAGGGGACACAAATAGGAATAAAGTACACACTGCAGGGAACTTGTCTCAGTCCACTTGGGGTGTGTCTGTGACCTGGCAAAGAGAAAGGACTTTGGGTAGACTGGAGTAAGCATGGTCTCCATGGCAGGTCCCCAGTCTGCTTCCTTAATTTCATCACAGAAAGTGCCAGGGATTGGTTTCTTCTTAGGTAGATTCCTTAATGTGCTATTAAGAGTGAAGACAGAGCTGAGAGGTACGCTCCAGTAGTGATAGAGAGATGAGTCATATCTCTGACAACAGTAAGGCCCCTGTGAATCAGAACTTGGCAAGAGGCCAGAGTCTGGGACATGGGCAGAGTCAGTCAGGCAGCTTCTGCCATCTCCTGCTGCCTGGAGCCTCATAGGAATTGAGCTTTCTTTTGAAATGAGGAATTTCTTTAAACAAAAAAATTTCTTTGGAAGGTTGGTTAAGCCCTAAGAAATGTGAAAATGGAAAGTCAGACTGGCTGATGACACAATGTTCCAGCAGGTCCTGGATGATCCCTATGTACCCTGTTTTTGCACAAGAAAGGTACTGGAGCTGCAGAATGACCTCCATGCCTACTTTTGACCAATGGCAGCCCCAGACCTTCTTGGTCCCCTACCTCCTGAGCAGAGGTGACTGAGATACACAACTGCTGACCTCTCTATGCTGCTCCATAGAACCAGAAACAGAGTTGCTCTCTTCCCCATTTCTCCTGAGAATCCTTTGCACAGGTTTACACACTTGAACCTTCTCCTGCCTACTGAGCATGCTCCCAAGATCTCATACAGCCAAGTTACTGGTTGCAGCAGCTAAATTCAACCAATTTAATTTGACTATAGGTGTGCTCCTAGTGGGCTCTGAGCCTCAAAGTGAACCTCAAAGTAATTTAAAAATAGGATGATCATAGATACCAACAGAGAGGTAAGAATTAGAACTGAAGAGAAAGCACAAGCCTCCAACCAAGTTTCCAGCCTATTTTAGTCCTGCTGAAATGCTGACATAGTGTTGCCAGATCTTCACATCTCTCAGGAGAAATCAGCTTAAACACTGTGCCAAACTAGATGCTCTGAAAACCCTTCTGCAACAAAGCATTTACATGTGCTGCATAATATAGCAAGGATTTCCTTAAAGGCACAGTTGAGGGCAAGAAAGCAAGGAAAATCTTCAGGGAAAGGAAACACAGAGTCTTAAAGCCAAGTTGATGCTGCTGCACCTCTGGAGAGAAAGAATAGTCTTGGTAGGAAAGCTAGGGTTTTCCTGGTCATGTGCAGAGAAGAAACAGGGCCTGAGGAGGAGCCTCAAAGGACAACACATCCACTACACATGCTAATTAGGGTTACTCTGCTCATCAGTGCAGGGAGGGGAAAAGCAAGTGATAGTCCACTTGGCCTGGCCTGGGAAAGTTCCATGCTGGAAACTCCATACCATGTGGTTCTGGGGTCTCAACTTTTAGTGTTTGCACAGTCAGGAAACCCTACACTGAGGAACTCATAAAAAGTGGTCTTGAGTGAGTAATTTTTAGGGGTACCTGTCAGACATACCCTTTCTTCAGAGAATCACAGGTGACAATTTTTAATTACAGTTCCACCGAGGAGAGTCATAATTCAAAATTTTTACATTTATTAAGATGCAATCCTATATCTGAGTCAACAGATACAAGAGCTTTCCAAGAACTTCAGATAATGGGTAAAATGAGTCTCTTAAGATGCTCAAGACATACAAGAAGGAACCAATTCCAAATGGGTGAAAATACACTATCAAAAGAGACAAAGCACATTGGAATTTCCTCAAATAAAAATAAACATTGAATTTAAAACATGGTAATGATTTAAGCAAACTGGAAATAGCTGATGAAGGATTTAATGATCTGAAATGTGGAACTCATAATAATTCATAGATTTTGCATAAGATGGAAACTATGAAAGGGGCATTAAAAAGTCAAATGATAAAAATTCTAGAACAGACTGGAGATTGCAGAATGTGAGAATTACTGAGGATGGGGAAGAGACAATGTCTGAATACATCTGAGAAATTATCAGAACTAATAAAGGATGTGCATTTGTCAGTTCAGATACTCCTAAAACAAGGTAAATGAAAACTATTCTACCTTTTACATAGTATGCTAACTATACAAAACAAAAGATGATCATAACCAGAGGAAAAATGTAGAATCCCTCCCTATAGGGAGAAAAGGCAAACCAAGAGTGCATTTCTCAACAACAGAAAACATAAGGAAAATCATTTCAAAGATTTTGAAAAAATACTTTAAATATGGAATTCTATAGGTAGCATTCACAAATGAAAACAAAAAGCCTTTGTCCAGAGACTGAGAAAGTAGCCACTAACAGACTGTTGTTAGAAGGATTACTACAGGATGTGCCCCAGACAAAAGTGATCACAGAAAGTATAAGTTAGAGGTAAGATGGAAAGGAAGTGAAGAACATGAGTATCTTTAAGAAACATGGATAGAAAACAGCAACAGTGACAGTAATTGAGATGAATTCTGTTCACATAAAAGTGAGAAGGAACAGCAATACTGAACATTAATGAAGACTGTAAACTCTAAAATTTATACATTTAAGAAGAATACATCTTAAAAATTTAAGCATAACATTACATTCAATGATATGAACAAAAATTATAAATTCTGAACTATAAACAGTTCAAGAGAAACTAGAGCTCCACAATTATTTTATAATGACAAATAACTGAAACACACACACACATACACCTAGACATATGTGTATGTTCACTGACTGCCTCTGTTAATAAAACCTGTCCAAAGCCCATCAGGTTGTCAACTCTGAATGTTATGTGTCTATACCAGGGACCCAGGACATTACATAGTAAATCAATGCTCACTCCAGAGAGATTTGTGTCCTAGATTGTTGTTTTACTTATGGCTTTTTCCCTTCATGTCATGCTCTGGGCCACTATGAATGCATTCTGTGGTAGGACTCATCACCTATGCCCCTACTTCTACTTCTTAACTGACCCGCCACCAGCCACACTGTTGAGTCGGCAGTCTCCTTACTTCTTCCTCTATTTATCTCCCTTTCTTTCACTGCTCATGATTATTCCAGGACATGCTGTGGGGGAGGTGGGAGTGGGAGCTGTGCGGTCTCATCTTATTTTTTTTATCATTTTGAAAAACTATATTTATTTCATTTCCAATCCCTAGTCTTAACTTTTTGCATGCTCATTTGGATTTTATTTTTGCTTTAAAATAGTCTTCAGCCAGGCATAGTGATATGTGCCTGTAATTCTAGCACATGGGAGGTAGAGGCAGGAGAACTGTGACTTGGAGGCCATCCTGGGCTACATAGTGAGACCCTATCTCAAAGAAAAGAAAAGTACAGCCTGTAACTTCTAGGCTTTTCTCTTAATTTTGTCTGCTCTAGGTTTTTGTTGTACATTTTAGTACTTAGTTTGAATGTCTTTTATTTAACTTATGTCTTATCTTCACAGGTGCCTTCAGTTTTTCTGACAGTTCAACATTATCTGCTTCAATATTAATTTTCCATTTGCACCATGATTACCATTTTGTGTTAACCTCTTAGCATTTTCCCTCTCTTAGTTATGTTCTATCCCTTCTTTCCTTAGGTACCTTCTTTCTCTTTTTTATTGGATTTTGCTTTTAATAGCATGTTATGTAACCTGGGAAGGTCCAAACACTTGTCTAGTTCTGCCTACGGTGGTCCCCCTACGCTCCAGCTCTTCTGAGGAACCACCACTGAGATCATAGGGTGCCTGGGTTTGTGAGACAGTGAGTCTCCCAGGTCCAGCTAGCCCTTCTTGGAGATGAGGTACTTGGGTGAATTCTGGGCAAACTGTGTCCACAGTGTGTCTTAGACAGGAGGAAACAGATGCCACAGAAGGCTCCACTGACTGCTTCCTACTAGGTTGGATGGCAGCCTTGGCTCAGCTTGGGCATCTTACTTATACCCCTCCTGCTCACTTGCTAAAAAAATTAGCTGTGTATAGTTAAGGGATACAACACATTATAAAATAAACATAGGTAATAAAATCATTAGTATAATGGAGCAAATGAACTTGTCTATCATCCCACATAGTGGCCTACCCCCTCTCTCCCATATGGCAAGAGTAACTATGATCTACTCATTTACCAAAAATCTTTGCTATGCTATTTTATTATTATCTTTTTGTGTGTGTGCTAGAGATCAAACCTGGGGCCTTGTACATGCTAGGAAATCACTCTGCACTGAGCTACAACCTTCAATTCGCTATTGTTAACTCTAGTCCTCTGTTGTATAATGGAGCTTTCTACTTGCTCATCCTACAAATTTGCTATTTTTTATACTTTAATCTATATCTCTCTATTTCCTGTCCCCCACCACATCCCTGTTAAGGAGTTTTACTCTTTACCCTGTTTTTTTTAAGATTCCATATCATATAAATGATTTCATGCAACGTTTTTCTTTCTGTGTCCAACTTACTTCAATTAGAATAACATCCTCCAGAACTCTTCTGTTTATAAGGCTGGGTAATATTCCATTACAACAGTTTCACAGTTTCTTAATTCTTTCATCTTCTTTCTTGTCCCTAGTAGGAAGGCCCCTATACCCACTGGTGACCTGCAGCAACAGGTCTGCATGCTGAGGAGGCACAGGGAAGGGGCCCTTCCTGCCTTCTGCCCAATGGCAATGGCCACTCCCAGCTCCATGCTTGCAAGGCTGGGTTCTTGGAGGTACAGAGAGAAGGTCTGGGAACAGGGCCTCAGACAGAGGAGGCTCCCACAGTGAGCCACACACAGCTTCTCTCAGAAAACCCGTCTCTCAACCCAGGCTCAAAAT